ACGCCACCCGTCACCGAGCCCCAGCCCCTCAAGCCGCTGCCACTTAGCGTGGCTCCCCAGTCGCCTCCGGCCGTGAAGGCAAAGCCCAAGTGGCAACCTGTGACTGTTGCCTCCCCCGACTTCCCCCCTCCTCCACCTGAGAGCAGTTTAGTGTTTCCTCCTCCACCTCCTTCCCCAGCTACCTCTGCAGGTTCTCCCCCCCCTGACAGATCAGGGTCTCCAGTCAAAAAGACCAGCAAGACATCGAGCCCGGGAGGGAAGAAACCACCCCCGACACCTCAGCGCAACTCCAGCATCAAGTCCACCAGCTCCACTGAGTACCACGAGTCCAAGAGGCCTTCAGTGGACCGCCTTGTCAGCAAATTTGCACACCCCCCGGAGCCCTCCGGGTCTCCTTCCAAGGAGTCGTCGCCTCCCGCAGCCCCTCCAAAGCCGGGGAAGCTCAACCTTTCTGGCGTGAGCCTGCCGATCGTCCCGCGGGGGGCCCCCCCGCCCACCCCCCCCCTCCTGCCTGTGGCCGGGAAGGAGCCCGTGGTCGAATTCCCTTCACCACCGTCAGATTCGGACTTTCCACCGCCACCGCCTGAAATAGATCTTCCTCCCCCACCGGTTGAGATCCCCTCCGTGTTTTCAGGCAGCACCTCCCCAAAAGTGGCAGTCGTCAATCCTCAGCCTCAAGCGTGGTCCAAACCACCCGTGAAGAAAGCCCCGCCGCCCACGCGTCCCAAGCGGAACGACAGCACGCGGCTGACGCAGGCGGCAGCGGCGGCGGCGCCGCGGCGCGCACGCGCGCCCACGTCGCCCAAGTCCAGCCTTAGCGTGCAGCCGGGATTCCTGGCAGACCTCAACCGGACGCTGCAGCGCAAGTCCATCACCCGGCACAGCTCGCTCTCATCGGCGCGCGTGTCCCGAGCGGAGCCCACGGCCACCATGGACGACATGGCCTTGCCACCGCCGCCGCCCGAGCTGCTGGCCGACCAGCAGAAGCCGAGCAGCTTTGGGGGCAGTCACATATCCGGCTATGCAACGTTGCGGAGGGGGCCACCTCCCGCACCCCCCAAAAGGGATCAAAACACCAAGCTGTCGCGGGACTGGTAGGAGCTGCCCGGGGCCGGTGCTTCAGGGACGGGCCACGACGGCGCTGCCCACATGGCAGCGCCGCCATGAGAGGTCGTCTCCTGCCGTAGCCTAGGCCAAGCGTGGAGACCTTCCCCTCCCACAGCCAGGCCGAGAGGCTGAGGGCCTGCGGAGGGTGGCGTTTTGTTGGGGAGGGGGTAGAGAAGCATCGACTTAATCCTGTCAGTTTCTTTTATCCTTCATATGGATTGGACCAAAAAAATCCTTTTTTCTTACTTTTTCTGCATTTGGGCGGGGGGAGATATTTTTTTGTAGTGTCTGTCCATGTGAGACATGTTCGTGCATGTATTATAAATGTAGGTATATAATATATTGTGATATATTTCGTCGCAATTATAGAAGATAACCAGAATGTTTTTGTAGAGCCGTATTTATTGTTTCAGTCACTACATTATCAGGAATTGGACTCTGTAACCTGTCAAATCTTAACCTTAAGATGAAGATGTAGGGGGCACTTTAAAGAAAAGAAGAAGCGAAAACAAACCACAAACCTCTTTTGGCAGTTTGTGACGGGTAAATGATGCAGCGTTGAGACGCTCTGCTGGAAACTGTGCATTGGTCATTGATCGATTGAAAAATACACATGCAACATACCAAAACATTCTGGTCGCAATACTACTGAAAATGACTGAGTAAGAGAATAGATTATATATAATGGGCTGGAGTGAAATATATTTATACTATAAAGAACCTCCCCCTTCCTCCCAGGTAGTTTAAAAATACACACTGCGGCAAATCAATTCTAAGTTCTTTGTCCGGGCAGTAAATAGGATAAATATATATTGTTCCAATCCATTATGCATTCTAACTTTGTACCGGGCTTGATCATTTGTTTTCACGTTTGCGTTAACCCCTTTTGAGAGCTGCCAGACCTCCTGCAATGAGCGGCGACGCGCAAGGCTGGCCCAGGCGGAACAGCGCTCCTCGCCCTGCCTTTCCCGATGAGCAGGTAGGTTTCTGGAGCGCTTGTGCCTGGTGAGATGTGTTGTCTTTACAAAAGCAGGTGTTGGGAAAACATTTGCGGAAAGCATTGTTTGTAATGCATCAGAAATTGGCAGGAAACTTTCCCTTCTGGAAGGAGAGAAGGAAATGGTCATTTCAGCCCAAGTATAGCTGGAATTGAGTGTTCTTTGACCCGCTAGAGACTGTGACCGATGCATAAGAAGATGCACTTCTAGCTGTCAAGGGGGGTGACTGGGAGAAAAACTGTGTCAGGAATGTTTGCTAATAATTTAATTTAACGGACCCATTAGCAGGAAATGAAAATCATATTTGGTTTGTTTATTTATTTGCCACCGATTTACAATCAATCGCCAGATCAGAATGCTAGAGATCTTTTTCTTGTACTTGAGTAGTTTGTACAGTCTTACCCACGTATTGGACGTTGTTTAAAGGTAGTGTAGTTAGCGTTAGTGGTCTCGCGTATCATGCATGTTCAGTGCAGGGTAGTGGTACAAAGTCTTTGTAAAGCAACTAAAATACTTGAGCTGTACCTACCCCCATCCTCAGTTGTTACAACATCCCCGATGGTGATTACAGGAATCCTGTCCAGGCTCGGATGGCAAATGATTTTACTCTTTGTTTCCCTTTTCTCCAAAAGCAAATTTTTAATGCTTTCCTTCCCCCAAAGAAAAAAACACAGGAATAGCTTGACTTGAAAGTATCTTCATACGTGTAAAATAGATGGAAACCAATCTCTCATTAGAGCAAAATAGATGTAATTCAAGCCAATAGATTAAGAAATATTGTGACAGTGTCCCCCATTCCTTTTTTTTATATAAAATGTTTTTTAAAAATCCAAATAATAAAGTAAATGTCTTTGTGAATAATTTATGAATAGGAAAAAAGTTTTGCTGATTAAAGAGAAAAAATGACACATCTATAATTATATAGTTTTAAATAAGTGCATCCTGAAAAAAGAAAAAAAACAATGGTGCTGTCTCTGTTGACCTGTTTCATATGATTTTTTTTTTAAGTATTTCAGCGCCTCTCAAAATTGTTCTAATATATCAGACTAGTTTTTTTGAGCAATAAAAATATACCATTGTGTGCATTTTTAAAGCACTGCTGTGGAAAGGCACTTTTTTGTATCTTTCAAATTGTTCACAAAGTTCTGTTTCTACTATTTTTGTGCTTATAAAGTGTCCTTAATAGCATTTGCATTGTTGATTTGCGTACGCCCGGCGTAGCTGGCCAGCGCTTTGCAGGAAGGCGGCCAGGCCACGCGGCAGTTCATGGGTGCTGTAGCCTCCCCGCTGGTCCTGCTGCTGCTCCGTGCTGTGCGGCAGCGCGGGACCCCCGCGCGCCCCGGCCTCCCCTCGTGCGTGTCAGTTCCTGCGCTTGCTTTGTTCCTTCGTGTGGGTGTCTCTGGGATCTGCTCTAGGCAGAGGAATGTTTTGAGTGCAATTTCTTCAGAGGCAGTTGAGCTTTGTTCTCATTTTTGCTGTGCCCAAATTTGTTTACCCGTATCTCCCGCTAGGCCATGAACTCACGCCTACTACTGCAGGCCACTGAGCAGCTGCTTGGGAGGCAGAGGTGGAAGCCCAGGTTTGCAGCAAAAGGAATGGCTGTGGGCAAGGGTGGCAGCCCCAATTCCTTGTGTTACAGCTTCCCAAGGCAGTAGTAATGCCAGCGCGTGGCTGCAGCTCTCAGCCGATCACTCATATTGGCTACAGACAACCCAGTGGCCTTTTCAGCTTATGAGACCCCCCCCACCTCATTGTAACTTGCTTTTTCCAGTGTATTTACTGCTTTTGTGAACAGTAAATATTTATGCCTTATTTGCAAGTTAGTTGCTTTTTTTCCCCCTTGAACGCTGGTCTAAAAATTGGATGACTGTATCTATTAAAATCATAAAAGCAGGGAGCCAGATCTCAGATGTGTGGTGAGAAGCTGCTGCCACAAACGTGTGTTGTCCCCCCGCCCCGCGCCACCACCCTCCCCCTCAAAAAAAAAAGGACCTTGGAAGAGGAAAATGCCTGTTCCCGGCTGTGCAGTGGCTGAAGCCAAAGAGCCCCTCTCCCCAGGTGGGCGTGCAGGTTCCTCCGGGGCAGCAGTGGGTGGGCGAGTGAGAAGGCATCGAGGATGGGAAGGGAAGGTACCTGAGTCACTTTTCGGTTCTAGGACAGACTGGAATGGGAGCAAGTTTTTTTACAAATGCATTTTAAGATTTGCTGTTCTGAACTCGCACATTAAGAGAGTTTCTTATTTCTTCTTTTTTGTGTCCTTAGGCAACCAGCTAGCACAAATTAGCTCAGAAAGGTAAAAGTATTGCCCAGTTTTGCTCTGGGTTAAAATTACTTTTTCCACAGTCAAAGGAACCAAACGTGCCATTTCATCAGCAGAAAGGGAGAAAGAATTTTCTTCTGCTTATTACAAAAAAACTGGACATTCAGTTGTTTTACTTCTTCAGTGGTGCTATTGCAGGTAAAATTGTTTCTTACTCAAAATAGGATTATAAGTGTCTAAGCAAGTGGCTACTATTTCAAATGCCAAGTCATGTTAAATCAATCACATTGCCTTGATTCCCCAACTAGGGCTGGGGAACATTTATTGTGTTAAAGGATCAGATTTACCCATTGAAATGTTCACTTAAACTGTTTTCAGCTCAGAGCTCTGTTTGATCTCTCTCCCATAGAATTTCCAAGATTTGACTCACTCCCTGCATTTACTTTTAAGCAGCGGCAGAGGTTCATAAGGGCATTTTCTGTTTGGTACGTGTGTGCAACTCCCAGCAGGTCTGCATTGGTGACCAAAAAGAAAAGCAACATAAACTAACTCCTGACATGAAGCAGGGGGGCTACCGCCAGGCTGTGCAGGGCGTTTTCCTGCGTGAAGCTCAGGGAGTGGGTTATGTGCGTGGCCCATCCGTGCGCCTCGTCTTTCTGGGTGCAGGGGAGGCAACGGTTCCCCACCGCCCGGGGCAGCCTCGGCTCATTCCTGTTCAGCTCCGCGTTCCCATGCTCACTCCAGACTCAAATGAGGAAGGATTAGACACTAGGGGGATAGTTTGTCTTAGATGTTTCAGTAATGTGTGGGAGAGAGAGAGGGCGGTTAAGTTTTTATTTGAGAAATGCAGGTTTGTTGTAAATGGAATCCTTTTACTTTCTGATCTTTCTTTTTTCCTTCAATTAATTAAAAAAAAATGATGAAACCAGCTTTATAGCCTGGGGTAAGCACTAATATGAGCTAATGAGGCTTTATCTACAGTTTTGAAAAGTTTAAGACACTAAATTGCAAATAAGGTGACAACACATGCTTTTCCTTCAGAAGGTAAAGTAATTGCTGCTAGTGCAGGAGAAGCAGTGATTTGTGCTGGCTGCTGCTTGGTGCTGCGAGGCACAGAGCAGGGAGCAGTCGCGAGCCCTGTTCACCAGCACTGGGCAGCGTTGGGGGCCGAAGGAGGTTGGGCAGGAAGGGCAGGAGCAGGACAGTGCCCCATGCTGGGCTGAGCAGGAAGGTGGGGAGAAGGGCCGTGAGTAACGGCCTCCCCTCCTTGGAGGGTTAAAGGCACCGTGTCCTCTAGGAGATTGAGAAATTGAACCAACCAGTCCCTGCTGGGGCAGAGTTATTTCCTCCCACGGCTCCAGCAGTGGGAATTTCGCTGCTGGGTGACGTGCGGGGCCTGAGCGTGGCAGGGCCGCAGCTGAGTCGCTGCTGCTGGGCAGGCGCAGGGCTGCCCTGCGGGGCACCCCCCAGCACCTCGGCGCACAAACTGGCAAGGGGTAGAGGCCAAAGCACCACCAGGCTTGTACTTTAAGAAGGAAAGTTAAATACTTGTCACAAGTTGTAATTGCAAACCTTAGGTCTCCTAGCAGGCGGCCGTGGACCAGAAATGAAACTGGAGCAAGCAGTTTGTTTTATGGCTTACACTGTTAGCAGCCACTGGTGATGTCCTGTATAATACTGGGGATGCAAATGTAAGAAAAAAAGTCATTGCAATGATGATTTGTTTGTGCAACAAACTTGTGC